TGCCAGTGACCATGGAACATCAAGCTTCCCTGTTGCTGCTGTGCACCGGATTGGGATATTAGACATCAGGATATTTAACACAGACAGACATGCAGGAAATCTTTTAGTTAGGAAGCTTGATGGTGTTGGGATGTTTGGTCAAGTAGAGTTAATTCCCATTGATCATGGCCTCTGTCTACCAGAAACGTTGGAAGATCCGTATTTTGAGTGGATTCATTGGCCTCAGGCATCCATTCCGTTTTCAGATGATGAACTCAAGTACATAGAGAAACTTGATCCTGTTCGTGACTCTGATATGCTGAAAAGTGAGCTCCCTATGATTCGCGAAGCCTGCCTTCGTGTCTTGGTCCTGTCCACCATTTTCCTCAAGGAAGCTGCTGCTTATGGGCTTTGCCTTGCAGAGATTGGTGAGATGATGAGCAGGGAATTTCGTCGTGGGGAAGAAGAACCGAGCGAGCTTGAAGTAGTTTGTTTGGAGGCCAGACAGTTGATTGCTGAGAGAGGGATTTTGTCTCCTAAGGCTGAAGTTGATGAGGAGGAGTTCCAATTTGACATAGATTATGAGGACGCAGGATATGGTTTTAGTCCAAAAATGGCCTCTGAGGACTTTGTGAGCAGGAACCCGTTTCAGTTTCCATTTGGAGGAGGAAATGGCCGCACTCAACTCTTTAAGCTAGATGAAAGCATCGAGGAAGAAGAAAGTGAAGAGGAAGAGGATACAAACTTTAACTATGTTCCAGCCCCCGCAAAGAATGTAGCAGAGTCAAAACTATCAATGTCCCTCAAGAATATTAGTTTAGGTGACAAGAATCAGAAGCATCCTTATTTTTCTGGAACTAAACCAGAAAATGCCTATCTCGCCAACTCTTCATCTGGCCACAGGAGTGCGAATGAACAGCTTCCTGTGAGTTCCAGCTTTGTGAAGCTAGCAGATATGGGTGAAGAGGAATGGCGTCTGTTTCTAGAGAAGTTCCAGGAATTGCTGTACCCAGCTTTTGCCAAGCGCAAGTCAGTCGCCCTTGGTCAGAGGCAGATACAAAGGCTCGGTACTTCTTGCCAGTTTTGAGATATCACAAGGTGTGGTACTACCACGACATCTCACTACTAGTATGAGTTAATGCCTAAATAACTCCGCGCAGTCTGGTGGTGGAAGTGAAGGATATCTAGCTTAGGTTGGTTAAGTGGTTATGTGCTCCCTTGAAGAAGTTATAGGGCGGCAGTAGCTTTAATAGGAGATGCTGTAAATATTTTTGAGGCACCTGAGTGGAAGTGCCGAGTAGAATTGGTGTCTTTTTTTCTGTTTGATGTCTTCATTTTTTTTCCTTTTCACTTTGTCACGGCGACTTGTTAGATAAATAATATGTAGAATGTAATCCGAAAAAAATAAAACAAAAAATGTTTGTGTAAATGTTCGATGTGTGTTCTTGTTTCTTCTCATATATTTTGTGCAAGTTAAAAGATATTGATTATCCTTTTTACCAGTTATTGTATACATTGTTATTTAGTGTTCATTTGTCAGTTCATTTTGCATGACATGAGTTGTTGTGTCCTTCCTAGAATAGTCCTAAAAGTGGGAAGAATGAGTAAAAGTGCAGTGTAGTAGGTCCCTTTTGTAGACCAGTTGACCCTTCAGTGTACTGAGGAGTTCACACACCAGAACATCACAGTTGTAGAATATGTTTGTGGTCAAGAAAATTCATGTTTGTTTGATCCAATTTCCAGTACATAAACATCAAAGTGGACCCTAATGATATTTACTTGTCAATTGTCATTCTTGAATTGTATCGATGGCACATCACTAGGGTGGAGGTCCCAAAGTATGGTCTCGATTAGTCCAAACTGTGTAGTCGACAAAGTTGTGCTGGTCGGAGGTAACATGTATACCTCCATGTATCTCATGAAATTAGTCGTGTAAAGTTGCTAGTTTGGTGATATGTCAATCTTTGTTGTTGTTAACAGAATGAGAAGAATTGGAACGTTTAAAACAAAGCAAGATGAAGAAAAAGTGATAAGGTTGAAAGTTTGGTGGATGTCTGCGTCAAAATGGTCATTCTTTTTTAGCAATCAAGAAACGGTTTTTATGCGTGAAGTGTATAATTATTGGAAAATAAAATGTATACATAAACATACAAGATATATTTTGGCTCGTCCAATCGATGTTCGGAGCCTACATTGAAGTTTTAACTAAATTTTAATCGCGCACCGCAAGGTTCAATCTAGGATAACGCTCCTAACACGATTATCATCATACCCAGGCTCGAACCCGAAACCTTATATCGCTGCACCACGTTGGTTGGCTGCTCAATGTTGACTAGAAAGAAAAGCACACCAGGAAATTATTTAAAAATAAAATAAAATGAAATTGGATGAGAGCAAACGTGGTAGCCTCATCTCTGATTGGGCTTGATTTGTACTACTATATAACCTGTTGTTTGGGGTTGGTAGGGTTGGGGGAGGGGGGAGAAGCTTTGTGGGTGTTACATGTTGACATTTGTATATACTTTCGATGTCATTATTCCTACTTTCGATGACAAGTAATTCAGGATAACTAATTATTATGTAATGTGGACAATTAATATGAGACGGAGAGAATATATATTTACTTAATTTGGAAAACGATAGTTAAATCTTTCTATATGAATATTATTTGTCAGAATATCTTTTTAACTGATATCAGAAAATAATATTACAGAGGCAAATCTAATATAACATAATATGAATATAATTGATTCCAAATGAAAATTAACTAGTATAACGAATGTTTTATGCACAAATGTGAAAATTAACTAGTATCATAAGACTTTTAAACACAAATGTGAAAATTTGTTGTAACTCAATAATTTAGAGTAATGTATGCAAACATAGTAATTACGTACTTATAAAAAACTTCCAACTACTCCATACGTATGGCGCCGGCCACAATTGGCTCGAACCACTTACGTCCATAGATATACATGTTTGAGATTAAGACGTAATAATTATTATTGTATAAATGGGTGCGTATAGTTGAAAACACAAGAACATGGTGTGTGGGGGTAGGGTGGGGTGGGGTGGGGGTAGGGTGG